GCAGAATTTTTTTTTCTATAATTATTTCTATCGATGACCCATTCGTAATGAACACTAATATGGTTTCTAAAAGTGATTCATCTACATCATCTTGTTTAGTCCTTGCCAAAATTCTGAAGGTAGGTATAATTATTCCCATTCTATGTGTTAAAAAATTGGGATTCAGAGAGACTATGGACTTAAACAAATTTATGCAGCTATTTAAGAAACAGAGCGAAGTCTCTAAGTTATTAAGGAACTATTTAGTTTAGTGCTGCTTAGGAAAATTAGAACTGTTTGAAGTACCTTTTAATAGTAAACTCATAGATATTTAGCCAGCTCTCTGTTTGCTAAATAATATGGAAGAAAAAGCATATATCTACATCGATCCTGAATTGGGAGAAGAGAAATAAAACATTGCCAACCCCCTTTATTGTGTACTGTGACAAGGCGGTAGGGCTTTTTGTTATTATAATTGAGTCTGGGAGAGGTTAAGAGATTCACCTAAAGTCACATGACCAGTAACTTTCAGAGATTTTACCCTAGGTCTGGAAACACTCTGAAGCCCATGTTATTGCCTCCAGATCCTGGTGGGGAACCCCTGAATGTGACAGAGACTCAGCAGACAGAGTGGTCCTTTCCTTCCAGGGAGTCAGGGAAGTCTTGGTAGAGGAGGTAGAGTTAGATCTGGGTACAATGTGGATGAAAAGAGATCATGTTGGGATAAGATCCAAGCTGTGCATGAGGGATAGCGAGAGGCCAGGTCTGTTAAGAAGGGTGGTTTATACAGAGGAGCATGGAAACATTTGCTCCATGCCTCATCTTCCATGGATAGTGGTCCAGAAATGCTAGCTGCCTGACTGACACTTGTTCACTCTGAGCACCTGATCCTGGGTCTGCCCTGCCCCGGATTCTATGAGCTGGGACTGAGAATGTGTCCTGCTGTCCCTCCTCTCCTACTTTGGTCTACACCCTTTTCTACACATTTGATTTGGAAATCTGAATTGGCCTTTCTGTGAACCCCAGTGATAGACAAGTCCCCAGTAAAGAGGCACTTAATTGCTCCTTCAGGGTCCACTTAGAGTAATAGCTGTGAACAGCTCTCCCTAGTGTGTCCCATGGGCAGTGACAAACATTGCTAAAGATGAATCACAAATTCTTGGCAAGGCCATCATAAATATGAGAAGAAAACCTTTGTCCCTTCTAGACTGATCTTATCACAGGTTGCACACTGCCTCAATGTTGCCATGTTTCCATTCTCAGTTGTGCTTGGCAGAGAGAGGACAGCCATACACAAAGTCTGGTCACTCCATAAAGGTGAAATCGTTTTTTTTTTTCAAGGTAATTATGAGTCTTCTGAGGATGGTAATTGAGTGACATTTAAAAAATGAGGAAAGTTCTACTCCTAACTCTCTCTGCTTAATTTGCTTATATAAAAGACCTAATGGTTTTTGCTGAGTTGACCCAGAGTCAGTAACATTTGAATAATTCTCCCTGTGTGTTATTACCATTTGATCAGTAACAGAACAGCAGGGTAAATGGGATTCCAAAGTTGCCTGAGAGTTTAGGGTTTGCATTCCACACCCCAGCCTTAAATATGATCATATAAATTCTTGGTTGATTTTTCTTTTTCATGGCTTTTCTTTGACATTTGATGGGGCTGGATTTATGGAGGCAACTAACAAGTTACACAGCAACAAATTCTGGACTGTGGTCCCACAGCCTTGAACCTAGATACTAGCTGTGTCACTAGTATGCTGTGTGACCAGGGTAAGTTACTTAAATTCATTTATGACTTTCCAAATCAATAAGTTGGACAAGGTCATCTTCAAAATGTCTTTCAGATTTAAGCCTGAACATCTGATATTCTGGCATGTTCTGATTTTTAGTTTTCTGTTCTTGGAGCATGTCTACAATATAAACGGCTACCTTCATATATAATAAAAGGACATTAATACACTCTGTGTATTTAACATTGTTTTATACACTCTGTGTATAAAACATTGAGTTTTAGAGAAAACTCAATGAAATTACCTTTTTAATTTCAGAGATTTTTAGGGAAATTATTGTTATTCCTTTAAAGTGATAAATATCATTCAGGATGCCCGTTTACCCGACTCAGAAGCTTGAGTGCCAAAGGGTTTGATAAATGTGGAAAACAACCACTGATTAAATATCCTCTTGGCCTGCCGGTGAGGTGCCCTTGCATTATCTGAATGCAGCATGTATTTAAACTTGCCAATTGTTACCTGAAATTGTGTTATTTTCACTCACACACTTAGTAATAATCTTGTAATGCTTGCTGAGAATTGAAGCAAATGCCCTGTGAAACTCAAGGGAGCAAGGTCTTTGATATTTTCAGAAGAAATGACTTGCTGAGGCTTTCAAGAGATCTTTTGGTCATTCTTGTGGAAAGAGAGAGGGAGCCCTGATTTTTTGATCTTACTATTGAGTGGTTGGTTGAGAAGACTATTCTCCTGTCCTGAAAATCACAGTGAGTGGGTAATTGCCAGAGGGTTAGTTTGTTCCCTGAATGTGAATGTGTTTATTGAAATTTCCTTGTGATCAGCAACTGTTCAAAACACCCATTTGTGTTGCTTTTTTTCTAATCTCACTGTGGAGCTGAGTTAAGAGAGAGATTGGCTTTAAGGTTTCCTTTATAATAGGTTTTCTCGCTCCAGGAAGGATACATGACAGGCCCTGCACACTGCTGCTTGGTAGGCATTCAGTGATGGATGCGTTTGCCATCTCCCAGGTACAGCTGCAGTTGTGCTGACCCTGCTGTATTTGCAGTGTGCACTTGGAGTGCACCATGATCTTGTGATGTGTGGAGAAATCTGGTGGCTAGAATACTAGGGAGGAGGACATCAGTGGGAAGTGCAGAAACTTCACACTGGGACATTGATGAAGGAGATCCAGTTCCATCCCTAAGTCAAAAAGGAGTCACTCACTGGGCCATCACAAGAGCAAATAAAGTTACAGTTATTTCTTCAGATTCACAACTCACTCTTTTTGTCCTAAACAATAATGAAATCAGTTAAAGCATATTGTGTTTATTACATCAACTCAGTTATTGAGCTGTTTTGACACCTTGCTGCTGGAAGATACATAGATGAAACACCATCATTTCCATTGATTCTGACCAAATCCCACATTCATACAGCCTTATTGCTCCGAGTCATGGGGATTTTATGCTCATCTATTCAAAAAACTGTCTTTACCTTATTAAAAGGTGATATGACCTGAACTTGAGGTGATGTTTGGTCATTTTGTGTAAACCTTTTAATATTTTAGTGGTAAATACATATCTTGAATTTTGACAAAAACAGAATTAAATGAACATATTTAAAATGGACATCTTCCAAATCTTCATTTTAAAAATAAACATATTCCAAATGTTCATTTTAAAAATGAACTTAACTTTTAATGAATAAAGAGTTGAAAAGGCAAAACCAAATGTGCACTATGCTGATTTTATCTTGAGCAGTACAGAATGTGCAGTATCTTAATATAAGTCATTCTGCTGTTATTCATACTCGCCTGTTCATTAGCATTATTTAAACACACACATTTGCGTGGCAGGGGGCTGGGTGCCAAGAAGGGATGTCCAGAGATAAATGGGCATATGTGTTAATCTTATAGGACACAGTCGAGTAACCTGATCAACCAGTGATGTGTATTGGGTTCTAGGTTAGAAGTCAGTATTTGAGGGAACACAGAGGAAAGTTCTTTTCTTCCCAGGAAAGGGATGCCCAGAAAGAGGGGGCTGATGATGACCCTGGTTCATGAGAAAAAGGGCATTCCTGGCTGACGGAGTAGCAGGAACAAAGCCAAGAAAGCCCGGAATAACTTGCATCAGCCCGTCTGGGAGTGCAGGGCATGGCTGGAGTTCTGGCTTTAAGTTGAGTGGGAAGAAGGACTGGAGAGGAGGTGGATTCAGGAAAAGTCATTGGGAGCATTTATTCTTTCAGCGATGGGGAGTCCTGGAAGAACTGTTGTAAGAAGGATCATGTGTGATACATCTGCCTTTTAGAGATGTCATTCTATAGAAAAAGTAGAAAATACAGAAAAGCAAAGATCAAAGAAGTGAAAACAATCACTGTTCAAGCTCTGGTCTGGCACTCACCAGTTGTTTTACCTACAGGTGCATATACAAACATGCTTTGAAAATGTATTTTTATTTAAAATTTTTTCTATCTCAATTTCAAAGGGAACAAACCTGCTTTTTTTTTTTTTTTTTTAAAATGAGATTCTTTGTACACATCATTTTAAATCCCTTTTCATTCTCTCTCTTTTTTTTAATTAAAAAAACTTTTTCGAGGCAGAGTCTCACTCTGTCACCCAGGCCAGAATGCAGCTTAGTGGTCTCAGCTCACCACAACCTCACCTCCCATGTTCAAGCGATTCTCCAGCCTCAGCCTCCCAAGTAGTTGGGATTACAGGTGCCCACCACCACCATGTCACGTTAATTTTTGTATTTTTAGTTGAGACAGGGTTTCGCCATTTTGGACAGGCTGATCTCAAACTCCTGGCTTCAAGTGATCTGCTTGCTTCAGCTTCCCAAAATATCATTCTCTTTTTAAAAGCATCAATAAAACACTTCCAAAGCATTATTTTGATAGTCATACAGTAAATTTATGTTACATCAATATACCATAATATACTCATATTTGAAGGTATAAATTGTTTTAAAGTTTCACTATTATAAATAGTGCTGCTCTGACAACTTCAGGATGCTTTTTAGTATTTTCTTAGGATAAATTTCTAGAAGAGAAACTTCTGACTCAAATGGAATACATTTTTAAAGGCCTGCATCTTTGCAGCCCTTCTGATACTAGTCTATATTATGCTTTTCTATCTTTGTCAAATCATGGATGATCAAGAATGGATCATGGATTTAATTTGCACTTCTTTGAGGCTGAATGATGCTCATGAGTTTAACTGGCCAATTGTATTTATTTATTTTATAAGCTGAGTGTTCCTGCCTTTTTTCTTTTGTAATATTGGGGCATTTATCTTAATCAACATGCCCTAATGCATTTCTATCATACATGCTGTGATGGGAGGTATGGAAGAAACATGGGAACAGCCTTTCTCAGGACATCTTTTGTTTCTCCCACTAACTCCAAAATCACATGAAGCTGTGGATGGAGATTCACCTGATAGTCGCAGAAACCCCTCCCAGCCCAGGGACCATGAGTAACCAGACACTGGTAATTCATCCAGAATACCGGGTGCTCTTATTTAGCTGTTTCCTCTTCCTCCACTCTGGGGCCCTCACAGGTAACGTTCTCATCATCTTGGCCATCACCTTCAACCCTGGGCTCCAGACCCGTATGTACTTTTTCCTGTTCAACTTGGCTACTATGGACATGATCTGCACCTCTTCTATCATGCCCAAGGCGCTGGTGGGTCTGGTGTTGGAGGAGGGCGCCATCTCTTACCGGGGCTGCATGACCCAGCTCTATTTCCTCAAGTGGGCTGCATCCTCAGAGTTACTCCTCCTCACGGTCATGACCTATGACCGGTACACAGCCATCTGCCACCCACTGCATTACAGCAGCATGATGAGCAAGGCATTCTGCAGTGGGCTGGCCACAGCCATCTGGCTGCTCTGCGCTGTCAACACGGCCATCCACACTGGGCTGATGCTGCGCTTGGATTTCTGTGGCTCCAGTGTCATTACCCATTTCTTCTGTGAGGTCCCTCCACTGCTGCTTCTCTCCTGCAGCTCCACCTATGTGAACAGTGTCATGATTGTCCTGGCGGATGCTTTCTATGGTATAGCGAACTTCCTGACGACCATTGCATCCTATGGCTTCATCATCTCCAGCATCCTCAAGGTGCGGACTGTAGGGGGAAGGCAGAAAGCCTTCTCCACCTGCTCTTTCCACCTCACAGTGGTGTGCATGTATTACACTGCTGTCTTCTATGCCTACATAAGCCCGGTTTCTGGCTACAGCACCGGGAAGAGCAAGTTGGTTGGCCTGCTGTACACCGTGCTGAGTCCTACCCTCAACCCCCTCATCTATACGTTGAGAAACAAGGAGGTCAAAGCAGCTCTCAGGAAGCTTTTCCCTTTCTTCAGTAATAACTTCTATCTTCTGAAGTTCTTATTCTTGGAGATTGCAGTTTAGTGAGGTCTGATGAACAAATTTCTGGACTGGGAGGCAAATAGACTTGTTTCTTCTTCCCCAGCAGAAGTGTGCAATGGATGTGCTGGGAGTTCTAGTGCCCCAAGACTGAATGATGGGGGTATTGTCATAGGTGTGACCCAGCAGCTTCTGAGACACAGGATCTCATGGTCTGACCCCATGGTGGTGTCAGTGCTGAGTTGGCAGAGAAACAGAGCTCCCTTGGAGGAGAAGCGTGTTCCTTGTGTTTTCGACTCGTAGCCATATCAAACGTTTTCCTTTTGTATGTACAACACTTAGGGTATAAATTCTAAAATCACCCTCTGAATTTAGGTGTGTGGGTCTAAAATGTTAGGCAGGGTTGTCAGACTAAAGCATTGTTTTCAGGTGACCACTGGCCTCTAAGAACCCTACCCACATTATCTTACCTCAACTCTTTCCTCTGAAGCCACTTGGACTTCAAAAATAGTTTGATTTTAATGCAAACGGTTATTTCTGTTTTTCTCTTTTCTTCTTACAAACAGTTAAGAGAAAATGTACTATTAGGACCACCCATTGCTTCCAGGGTAAAAACTCCAACTTTACCACCTAAAAAACAGCCTGAGATTTTATCGCTCCTTGACTTTGTTCTCAGATTCTGAGTGTCTGACTTACCTAATTGGCCTGGGGCAAGGACATCTTCCATAAGTCAGCTCTTATAAGTCACATGGCATTGTAATAAAGCATTGCTATCCTTCCATTGTTTCTCATAAAACTGGGTGGATGAATCCTCCATGTCTAATGAAGGCAGGTCTTGTGCTTGTGCTCCATGCTATTAATAAACTGCACTGAGAGTAGAGTTTGATATTTGATTTAGAAAGGATGATTCTTCATCCAGTATTCTCATTATCATTCATCAGAAGCTCATTGATTCAAGTATTTGATGAATTGTGGCTGTTGTGGCTTTGGCACGTAGATTGTTACAGACAGTTTAATCTCTTCTAACAGAGTTCTGACTCCCAAATAACATATTGAAACCCTCAGAGGTCTCAGAGACTCTCCAATAAACAAGGCTTTGGAAATGATCACAAATGACTCTGTGTGATTACTCATAGATTTTCAACATTAAATCAAGAGTATTATTTATAGTGTTATTCATCTTAGTGTTATTTATGGTGTTATTCATTCTTATCATTTTTTACATTTTCTATATTTTACAACAGATTTGAAAAATAAAAAGCAATTAGACATGCATTGAGAGTTTAAGAGAGCTTTAGTAATTTAGCAAAATAGAAATAAGACTTGATTGACATTCTTACAAAGCTGGTATCTAATTAAACAGACTTGCACCCATGATGATGAATATTTAAAAAAAAAGGCATAAAGAGTGTTGCATTTCAGGGGATCTGGCAAGATGGCCATATAGGAATAGCTCTGGTCTGCAGTTCCCAGTGAGATCACCATAGAAGGTGGGCGATTTCTGCGTTTCTGAGGTACCCTGTTCACCTCATTGGGACGGGTGAGGCAGTGGGTGCAGCCCACAGAGGGCAAGCAGAAGCGGGGTGGGGTGTTGCCTCACTCAGGAAGTTCAAGGAGCCAGGGGCCTCCCTCTTGCAGCCAAGGGAAGCCATGAAGGACTGTGCTATCCAGCCCAGATACTACATTTTTTGCATCATTTTTGCAATCCACAGACCAGGAGACTCCCCCATGTGCTTATACCACCAGGACCCTGGGTTTCAAGCACAAAACTAGGTAGCTGTTTGGGCAGCCACCAAGCTAGCTGCAGGAGTTTTGGGTTTTTTTGCCCCCATTGGTGCCTGAAACCCCAGTGAGACAGGACCATTCACTCCCCTGGAAAGGGGGATGAAGCTAGGGAGCCAAGTGATCTTGCTCAGTGGGCCCCACTCTCATGGAGCTCAGCAAGCTAAGAACCACTGACTTGCAATTCTCGCTGCCAGCACAGCAGTCTGAAGTCAACCTGAGATGACTGGCTTGGCAAAGCGGCTGTGGCCAGACTGCCTCTCTACAGTCCTCCTCACTGGGCAGGGTATCTGAAAGAAAGGCAGCAACCCCAGTCAGAGCCTTATAGCAGCCCCAGTCAGGGCCTTATAGATAAAACTCCCATCTCCCTGGGACAGAGAACCTGGGGGAAGGGGTGGCTCCTGTGGACTTAAATGTTCCTGCCTACTTGCTCTGAAGAGAACAACAAAAGGATCCCGACAAGGAGGATTCGCCCTGCACAGTGCTTGAGCTCTACTAAGGGAAGACTGCCTACTCAAGTGGGTCCCTGACCTCCATGCTCCTGACTGGGAGAGACCTTCCAAAAGGGCTTGGGAGCTCCAGCTGGCATCAGGCCAGTGCACCTCTAGGACGAAGCTTCCAGAGGGAGGAATAAACAGCAATCTTTGCCATTCTGCAGCCTCCACTGGTGATACCCAGGAAAATAGGTCTGGAGCGGACCCCCAGCAAACTGCAGCACACCTGCAGAAGAGGGGTCTGACTGTTAGAAGGAAAACTAAGAAACAGAAAGCAATAAGATCAACATCAACTAAAAGAACCCACACAAAACCCCCATTCAAAAGTCATCAGACTCAAAGAACAAAAGTAGATAAATCAAAAATAATTATCAATTATTATTGATAATAAAAGACTATGATGGAAAAATTTGAGGGACATATGTAAGGATTAGAAAAACACACTTTGTTCAGCTAGCAGAACCCAAATTTTGTTCACCCTACGTGTATATAAGGATTTCCATACAACTTTGTGTAGGCTTGTTTTTCTCATATTTGCAATATTCACATTGCTCAAGGAACTGACAAAGCAATACCAATGAACTGAGTGACCATCACTTTTTTTAGCTTTTAAAATTTTTAAACCTTAGTAGTCTGAGATAGTGGATCATATTTGATAATCTACTTTGAAACAAATGGAAAAAAAGGTTTTTAATACCTAATTTTAGATTGCATTCCAGCCTGGGCAATAGAGCAAGACTCCTGTTCTCTCTCCCCTTTTCTCTTTTTTTGTTTTTTCTTTCAAGACAAAAAAAAGTATAGCCAGTTAATGTAAATATTGAAATTGATAATCTTCTATATAGTTTAGTGAAAATATGTCCAAATGGGTAAAAAACGTGAAACTTTAGAAAAGAATCATCCTACAAAGAACCAAATGGAAATTCTATAAATTAAAAATCCAATATTGTAAAGAAAGAATTATTTGTTGGGCAGATTGAACAGAGAAGAAAGAATGAATGAGTCCATAGAGATCAATAAAAACTATCCAATCCAAACACGAGGAAAAATTTAAAGGCCTCTAGGAACTGTTTAACAATACTAAATAATCTAACATATATGCAATTAGAGTAACAAAAGGAGCAGATATTAAGACAAGGGAAAAAGAAATGTTTGAAAAGATTATATGCAGAAGTTTCTTCAAATTGATAAAAGACATCAAGAATATTAGAAGCTTTTTCTTTTTCTTTTTTCTTTTCTTTTTTTTTTTTGAGACAGAGTCTGGTTCTATCGCCAGGCTGGAGTGCAATCCCAGCTCACCGCAACTTCCGTTTTCCGGTTTCAAGGAATTCTCCTGCCTCAGTCTCCCGAGTAGCTGGGACCACGGGTACGCACCACCATGCTAATTTTTTGCACTTTTTAGTAGAGACGGGGTTTCACCATGTTGGCCAGGATGGTCTCTATCTCTTGACCTCGTGATCCACCCGCCTTGGCCTCCCAAAGTGCTGGGATTACAGGTGTGAGCCACTGCTCCTAGCCTAATTTTAACAATTTTTAATGGTATGATTCAGTGGCATTAATTACCTTCAGAGGCCATCTTCAGAACCTTTCCATCATCCCAAACTGAAACTTTGTAACCATTAAACAACATCTCCTCATTCCTTCCTTCCTCCAGCCCCTTCACTCACTGTTCTGTTTTCTGTTTGAATTTCACTACTCTAGATACTTTTGTAAATGGAATCATACAATAATTGCCTTTTTGTGTCTTGTTTATTTCACTTAGCCTATTGCCTTCAAGGCGCATCCAGTTGCAGCATGGGTTAGAATTTCCTTCCCTTTTAAGACTGAATAATCTTCCCAGTGAATGTCTTTACCGCACGTTGCTTATCCGTACATCTGCTATGGACGTTTGGGCTGTGGGGAATAATGCTGCTGTGGACACTGGTGTGTAAATACCTGTGTGAGTCCCTGCTTTCAGTTCTGTGTCTATACCTAAAAGTGGAATTGCTGGGTCAAATCATTCTGTGTTTAATTGTGTGAGGAACTGCCATACTGTATCACAGCTGCTGCGCATCTTACATCCTTCTAGCAATATGTACCAGGTTTCCAATTTCTCCACAGCCTGGACCACCCTCATTATTCCGTTTTTTTTCTTTTTTTTTTGGTTGGTTGGTTGGTTGGTTGGTTTTTTAAAAACAGGCACCCTAGTGAGAGTGAAGTTGCATCTCGTTGTGATCTGCATGTCAGTGATGACTAGCAATGCTGAGCATCTTCCTGTGTGCTTATTGGCCATCCATAGACCTCCTTTGGAGAAATGTTTATTCAAGTCCTTTGAATCAGGTTTTTTTGTTGTTGAATTGTAGAAGTTCTTTTTATATTCTAAATATTAAACCCTTATCAGATAAATCATTCACAAATATTTTCTCTCATTCTTTAGGTTGTTTTTTCACTCTGACAGTGTCCTTTGGTGTTTTTAAATTTTGATGTTCAATTTATTTTTTCTTTTGTTGCCTGTGCTTTTGGTGTCATAGCCAAGAAATTACCAAATTATTGTTTAGTTTTAAAAAAATATGTTATTTATGTGATCTTTTGGCTGACACTTGTCTCTAGTGATTGACGGCTCTTCTTGAGGGTGGCGTTTTAATATGCAAATTTGATGTCACTCTCCCAATCTCGTTCCGTGGCTGCCCTTTGCTTCTAGGCCACCGCGCTTGTCTGGCCTCACTGCTGCTCTGGCCTCTACCTTCCTCTAGGGCCTCTCTTCTGCTGCCTCCTGCTCTGACTACAGTGGCCCTTCATCCCTCAGTGCCCTTGCCTGGGACCTCAGTACCTGCAGTTCCCTCTGCCTGGAATATGGCAGCTCCTACGTTTCCCTCCCAGCCTCCACCTGGTGCCACTGCTCCTTCTGATGGTGGCCCCTGAGACCACTGGTCAGTGTGGCCTTCCCTGGACCTGCTCCTAACTCCCCTGTACTCCTCCACACTCTTCTCCAGTAAACTAGTGGCACTCAATTGTGCCGTCCAGGGACCCCTGGAAATTTCATGACCCTGTCAGCAGCTGGGTGAGGTCCAGTCAAGTGTGTTTCATGACAGTATGGAGACCTTATTGACTTCTTTTGGCTGGAAGCAGAAGTGTCTTGCAG